AAGTTATTTAAACTAATCAATTACTGAGACGAAGTTTATAATCAATCTCTTCCAGTTCCATCTGTCTGTTTTTCTCAATCTATTTATTATTTAAATGTTATTCTTATTACACACACACATGAATTATAGCCATGAGACAGTAACAAAATACAAAATGTTCATTCATACATATTCATTTAAGAGCAACAGAAAAATATGACAACAAAAATACACTATTCAGGCATACAAGCTCTTGTAGAGTACTATATCACATCTGTAACACTAATTCACTAAAAAAAACCTGTAGACCAAAAGCATGTTACAGTTTAAAGCTTCATTTAGAAAAAAAAACAGTAAAAAATTAACAATTTATGTTTTGGAATAAAGAACTGATGACAACAAAAATATATGATTAAAATGTACTTGCATAAGATTTGGAATTTAGATAGACTTGCATGTTTTAAATCTCAAACTACGACCATGTCTCACGATCATCACTTGTTTACAGGTAAGTTTAACGGTAAAGTTAAAGAAATTAGTAAATTTTCAAAGTGGAAAACAATTTTTATGTAACAGTTATTGAACATATTTGACCATTTACTTGTGAGGTGACACATATCATAAAGGACTTACTTAGAGGGTGTTTTTTCCATGCCAACAGCTTCGTCCCGTTCCTGGGAAAACAGAGGAAGATCAATTTCTGAATCATAAGTCTTCTTTAATCTGAGTAAGTTGAGTTGAGTTTTCAAGGTCATTTGGAAGGAGCCCTGATAAGTGAGATCCATGTCTATCCACAACCCTTGCTGATCAGATGCAGGATCAGAAACACGTTGAATTATCGGTAGACTCATTCCGAGATCAATGTCTGTCAACTGAAGTTCTTCTATAAAGTACGGAACCTAGAAAAAAAAGAAGAAAATTAATACATGATATTAAGACCCCCATTTCAACATATATAAATAACTATTAAAGCTATGTCACTAATGTATACAGAAACCACACATTGGGGAGATACACATGCTTCCAATGTTTCTAAATCAGACATATGTACAATATATTTTCATGTTATCTGGTGCTTTAACCTGTTTCCAAGAGATTCATGGGATGGAAATGTTTGATTAAAAATGGGAACACAGATATGAGGTACATGTTTATTTACATCTGGACATCTCAGAATTGGTAAGTCACAGCTCAGACACATAACTAATATAAAACAAGAAAGAGAACTATGAAGAATAAAAACAATCAAACGAGTTTACAAATATATTTAATATTTGGATTGTTTTTGTTCTTCATAGTTTTCCTTTATTTTGAGTTTATAAATACATTTAATATATAAAAAAGGAAAACTATGATGAACAAAAACAATCAAAATAATTTGCATATATATACACTACACTGTACAATATACACGAAGTAAAATAATTATGATCTGGCAAAGGGTATCATTTATAGTCCAAAATTTGAATTATTTTCAGCTTTGAACTCTCAGCAGTGCATACACATTGTGTAGAAAATCAGATCATGATAGTTACTTACATTCTGGTTTGTTTATTACCAAGATATCTTTGTAAACAGCAGAAAAAACACACACACAAAAACGAATATATATATACAATTTTTGTTTCATAACTCAAACTCTTTCAACTGTATTATTTTGAGATTTCTTTCATACTGAAGATGCAATATGTCAATTCTGAAATGTCCAAAATCAAATAAATTATTCATTGTCTGTAAATAAACATGGTGTTCATAAAATGTGTGTTTCTTCTATTTTTACATTAAAGATTAAACAAATTGACCTTGAGTTATATAAAAGATTATACACACTGGATATAAAAATACAGAAATTTAAGACAATGTACATTTGCAACCTTGTGTGAATGTTTTGATACAGTGTAACCGATGTAACTGTACAATTAAAAGCCTCGATGTATTGTTTATTTTTTGTTTAGTTGGCCTCTACATGAGAGGAACTAATAACCTTCAACAACTGTTTTTATTAGTTGCAAAATTAAACAAGATAATTTCATCAACTAAAACCTGTTAAACTGTCCGACTGGATAAAAATTACAACCTTCTTTATTACACTGAGATGTAACTGATCAGCTGAATGCCCAACTTTTCAACCCAATCACACGACGTAACTGTTTGATCAACTAAAATAATGAGTGATGGCATTTTGCTTTTCACAGAGAATTAGGTATTTTGTTATCCAATACTGAGAAAATATTAGGTATCAAGTTTCATGTTACCATTGTGTTTTACAAAAGATACAACACTGATCCAAATACCAAAATTTAACCCCCCCCCCCCAAAACCTGATACAAGGGATGTTGATGGCTAGAGGCAAGAGTAGTTGTGAGATGCCAAATTTTATAGGATGGAACATGCATAATAAGAAAAATGTCATCACCCATAGAAGAATTAACTAGCCGGATGAGACGTATAACCCAACTAGTCAGAGGAAAAGGGGGCTAAATTGCTAGATGAAAAGGAATCTCATGGCAAGAAATGACATCAGTTGCTCTGAAAGGGGGCAGTACAAGTGAGATATCAACAAACAGTCTATACAGAATATAGGAAATGACCAGGGTTAGAATGATCGTACAGGGAAGAAAGATGGAATGGAGAAACCAACCAGTCACCCTCTTGAGCATCTCAAGTTTTGGGGAGAAAGGAGTAGTCAGGGGAGAAAATTAATCTGTTCCTATGGTAAATAGTGCAGAAATTCCCCGAGGTTAAAAGAGTGAAAACAAGGGCTCCTGCTAGTAAGAAGGAGAACATTTGTCTGAAGCATATAAAAATAAAGTGAACCACTCCAGACACATAACTTACTCTGTCACAACCAGTTTGGATGGAAGACCAAAAGTGTGAAAGCTAGTTGCTGAAGGGAACTGGAGATGCAGTAATGACAGTAATACCCACAGTGGGAGTAAATCCACTGAAAACATCGGAGAATGGATAGATCACTCTATGTGAAAGATCCAGTCAATCTGCCAACAGGGCCTAACTGAAACTCAAGTACGTGTCACCAAAGAATTTTGTATCTTAACCTGGAATATATTTAAGTACATAAGAAGGAATATCTGGTTTAATTTAAGTGCATACACACAAGTAAGTTGTAACTTCATTATAAGTAGAATTACGATTTGTGTGTCTAAGGGGCATATAAATCAAGATTTTTCTCACCAGGCACCTACAATTAATGTTTCGAAAATGAGTGAATAAATTTAGAAGACAATATTCATATTGTACACTGACCTTCGAACGTGATCCTATTATAATGATCATTCCAAAGGTCACCGACTGCTTTATTTAATCACATATGGGTTGTGCTAAATGCGTATTTTACGAGTATTATGACCTCAACTAAAAATCCTGAAATATTCATAGAAATACTTACTTTGATTTTACTCAGCTTGCGTTGAATCTTGTCAGCCACTATGCTAGACCAGTAGTTCTGCGAAAACAAATCATAAAAGATTCGTCCAATGAAAGCATTAAGCCACAGGTTATTCTGCAAAGACATAAGTGATATGCTGCCATGTGAACCTGTCTTTGGTGAACCAGGGGTTGCCGTTTTAACTTTCAGGGTACAGGAGCTGGTACTGGAGGTTTGATCTACAGCATCTACACCAAGAAGAACTGCCATATATGAAGCAAAATCTAGGTTGGTTTTAGCTTTAACCTCATCTGAAACGTCATCATCTTTGATAATAGTTGCTGTTGCCCCCACAGACGTATCTACACAACTTAAATCCACGGGCAATAGTTGCTTATGACTAGAATCATCCTCAATCGTTTCTGATTTCACACTTGTTTGACTGTCTTCATCTTTAACAACATACTTTAGTGGTTCACTTGCAACTTGAAATCGACGATACCACTCTTCCTTCTCTCTGCCAGTTCGAGCAAATAAATAGAGTCTTATAAGCTTCTGACTTTTTGTGATACTCTTTCCCTGGGTGGCTTCTTCTGTGTCACTTGCTGATTTGTCCGAGAGCGGTGGCGTTTTCTTTCTTGGTGAAAGATCGGACATGTTAGGGCTAGTTTCACTTCTCTCCGTCATGAAAGCTTTAGAATTTGTGATCGCAATACATATGGGGTACTTCTTGTTCCACAGTCTATAATTAAATTAAATTCTTCTAAAAATATAAACTATATGTTCACAATAAACTCAATCAAAACTATATGAATAAAAACAAAGATTGTAGAGATTTGTTTATGTAAGAAAACAAGTCTGTGAAGTTGCATATACAAATAAATTATAGTGAACTACTGAAGGCTTAGAATAATGGCAAAAGCAGTAATATTTTGAAGTTTTACTATGCAGGCCTGCAAAATTTGATTAATCTATAAAAGAAAAGGACAAAACGTAATTTTTGAACAAAGACCTGTAGTTTTATTATTAAAAGAAATTTTAATAAAAACAAATGAATGATAATCCTGCTAACTTCTTTATACAGTACACGTGTTTCAAATCATTTGACTGAATGTGTGCTATTAATATATACTATTTACTTAACACTTATATTCTATACAGATCAGCTTTCTTGCTCTGTTTAACTGATTATATATGTACAATTGGAAAGAACTGTTTATGACTTATTTTCATTCAATTGGCTCTATCTTCTCTGACACACTACATATGTGATGGTCTATGTATAGATCATTGTATATATATATGTTAAAGATTTCTTTTTCACCAGAAGTGAAATTGAAAAGAAAATCTATGATGTAGAGGCCTAATGCATTATTTGATTGACTGTACTTCTGATGAAAAAGAAAAGAAATCTTTAACATATACAGACAATCATTAAACAGTTCAATTCAATAAAATGTTATGACATTATTTACACACCTAAATTAACTTAGGTTACTATATTGTGAAGTAAAACGGACTCAAAACCCCAATAGATATTATATACACTTCACCATTACATTAGGCCTAATCGTATTTCTGTGGTTTGCTGACCCCAAGCTGTGTTGATGAACCTTGAATAGCATAGACTGCAGTCCACAGCAGAGGGTACAGCTAATCAAAGAATGCATTAAGCCTATTTTCAATTTCACCCCAGGTGAAAAAGAAAATAAATCTTTAACATATATATATATATAATCATTAAACAGTTGGTCTGCTATATAATACTGAATAATGAATTGACAAGATGTCATGACATTATTCACATATGTAAATTAATTTAGGTTACTATGTGGCAAAATAAAATGGACTCAAAACCTCATAGATATGTATTGACCAGTTAACTGACACTTCCATGTTTCAGCTAAAATTTCTCGTATACTCTACAGCTTAAAGTTTTAGGGTTAATATTATCAGTAAAGCATTTAAGACTATTTAACTTAATTCTAAAGAAAACTTTAATCACAAACAATTACACTAAAATCAACATTCTAATCAATATTTCCAATATTGGTAAAGATACCAATCAACAGCTGAAATTCTTAAAATTTTTGACTACATTATTACAGATTTGATTGACAATTTGCCAAGAACTGACCCTTATTTCAAACTCTTTTATTTCAGCACAGACTAGCATAGTACCATCAAACCTGCCTTTGTGTCATGGTGGTCTCATTTCACCGAAGCACAGTTACATAAAAGTGTTGAATTTGAACCATTTAGATTTGGTAATCTGTAGAATGTGAATGTTTCTTGCCTCACAGAACTAATGAGAACTAATAAGCTTGAAAATATATTTGTTGCGTAGTTAGGGTATAGCTTTTATCAGTTAATGTTTGTTACAATATTTCATGTTACATTACATAAAACTAAGAAATTGTGTGACCAAAAGGGCTAAAATGAAGAATTATAAAGATACAAAAAAATTTATACATTGTACCTCCTCCTCTCCTTCCAAAGTCACATAAGACTCCTTTAGAAGACCATACACTTAGCCAGATTGGTGAACTTGAGCCTATATTTCACAACTGAACATGATATAGATTTTGGACCACACACATATATAGTATGAAACCTAACTACACAATCTAAAGTGCCCTTTTACACTAAAATCAGGTAAAGGAGAATAAAGACAGAAAAATTATAACTAGAATTGTTTTACAATAAACATTTAATACCTAGCTCCTATTTATATGTATCTATACCTTTTTCTGGCTAGTCCTTCTGGTGGCAAAAACACATTGGCACCTTTCAAATCGTAATGTCTTTGGTGTATAAAAACTGAATCATGCCGTCGCTCATTCCACATGGCTCGTTTTGGCACGTTATGTTTTGGACGGGACAAGCGAAGTGAAGGGCCATCTAAACGAACGTACACGGACTGGGTACTGTTCACGTGATACGTATCAGGATCATACTCAAATGGTAGCTCATTCATCCATCCCTAGAAATGTTCAAGTGAAAGTTATCGTTATAAAATTCAAATGTGTAAATTTAACAGACTATTACACACTTACTAAATAAATTTAAATCCATAGTATCTAGATTTTATCATTATTATCACACTAATTTAAAACGTTCTTGGCCAATTTTGGGAACAGTTGTACTGTGTACAATATGGAAAGAAAATTCCTGAAAATCAAATGAAATACGAGCAATTGAAAGATATATAACGAACCACTGTCAGTTATTTTAGCCATGCTCTACTTATCAGATATATACATAGTATGTAAAAATTTCAGTATATATTTACTTTTTGATGCACTCAAAAATCATCTCTAGGTACAAGTAAGGAGCCCCAGAGAATTATAGCTCCCAGCCAGAGAAGTGTGTGAATGTGAAGTTCCAGTTGCGAATCACCATAAACTAAATACTAAATTATTATACATAAATAAAAAAAAAAAGACTACAGTACTATTACATCCAGAATTCTCACGATTTATTTCAAGGCAATCATATTCACACTGTTTGTAAATCAGCTATGGTAAAATCCTGGTGATTGCTAAACATTTCCACCACCATACGGTGGCAACCGGCAAGCGAATGTTATAACAAAAAACAGGGTATTGACAATAAGGGCCAGTGATACATCAAATGATAGCTCTCTTCATGCTCTATGTTAATAA